CTCGAGTGATCGCTGGCTTCCCTAGTGCTGTGATCCTCAGATTATGTATTTAATATCCGATTCATGATCTCATTGGTGAGTAATGGTGATTCAACTCATTGCGTTTCTCCTTCGAGTACGAGTCCATCGTGAATATTCAAAAACAGGACTAGCTATAAATTTCGATTATTAGTTCAGTTTTATGTTAACGCTACTCTACAAATCATTTAGATAATCTCGTGTACTAAACGTTAGAATCTCCATTGCGCACAATTTGTTCAGGAAATTTATCTTTCACTCCCTGTTGTCTCTATTTCTCGTCCTTTCTCAGCCGGTGACACCACTAATACTCGATCCGGCACATCCGGTAGTACCACGCGATCTCCGTACGATATCACTATGATGGCACATTTCGATCATCATAAAGGACGTGTTTGGCGAGTGTCATGGAATGTGACTGGTACGAGCGGTACCCCTCTTATTCATTTTGCATTTTGAATTCACTTTCGGAAATATTATAATTCCTCGGAAATGATGATTTCCTGCCGTACGTAACCAAATCATTGCTAGTGAAACACCCCCAGATAATTTGCTGGGGGTTATTGTTTTAGCAATGGCTCCAAAGTGCCATTAAACGATCACTAGCTGCACAAGTGTGTCATACCACTTTGATCAACGACGAAGATAACTAGTCTCAGTCTGTTTGGGGATGCTCAGTAATCAAAAATTACTGCTCCTTATTTTATGCATTTCTGTTGTTTCGTCATAATACATAGCAGGAAGTAAATTTAGCAAAACATTTATTGTGATAGTTAAAACTCCAGTACTGACGTACATGAGATTTATCCGCATTTTTTGAACTAGAATAGATCACTAACCTCGATGAGCTTCGAAATCACCATGGTTGCCACTTACGCCTGTTTACTGTTTACCAATGAACCCACAACATCACACGCTATACAGAAGTGTTGGATGCTCGAATCCTGCCGAGGCTTTTCATCTTTTCACAATTCAAACCTACAAGTATATTTCTAGAATCTGCCAAAATAACAAGGTAAAAATGATATTTAGCTACAATACTTGATTGGTCAAAAAGCCACGGATCGGATACATGACCATATCCTCAAACTGATAGACTTACTTGAGCTATCGTAGTCCGTTTCTCCGGACTAATATCCAGCTCAGAGTCTGTGCGCGAATGTTCACATTTTATTTTAGCTCAGTTTGTACAACTGACCTTTTTTGCTCTCTCCCGGTTGCTCATTCGGTCGAGCAATGAGTGAACGCGAGCTGTACGAAGGTGAAGATAGAGTAAATTGGCGAAGAAATTTAGCAAATGCATAAGCGCCACTATTTGTAATACTCAGTGTCTTCAGCCATGGATTACACTAACGCGACCTATATGGCCAAGTCTCTTGATCAGGGTTTTCGTACCCTCAGACCAAGTCTTATTTTTTACTATACTTTACCTTCTTCCACCCATTACCTGCCTCGGCAAATATTTCGCTTCGATGAAGCTTATCCGGTGGCATGCGTAACATATACCTCAACTAACCTAATCCACGGAAGTTGAACACTTGTTCCAGTGAGCGACCGGTAACGACTATAACTGCGCTTAACTTCGGACTCTTTTTGTTCGATTATCTCACCAGACTCGTGCAACACTGCTTACTCAGTGCTGTTCGAACCCCTATGATGAGATGTAGCTGCCTAACTAGTAAAATTTGTTCACTTTCTTTGTTGCTAAAGTGAAGCTGGGTCAGACCAATCCTGTAGCAGCATTTTACACTGAGGGTGTGCAAAACATGCTGAGCATAGCTACACAATCACTCAGACCATCTAGAAAAGCTTGAAACTCACCTGGACCTTCGCTTATCGGTACATTTTCGTCTGCATACTCCAGATCAGACAGTCTGGCTCCTGGGATCACATAGATTCCGTTATCCTTTCATGTGGACAAAACGGTTTCATGAATCGGATCCATTATAAATTAGAAGAGAAAAATATGTTCACATCACAAATTTTAGACTTTTTTCAAGTTCCCTGTAACACTTTACCCAACAAAACTATTGCACCGTACAACGTGATCTGTTTACTAATACGCATACCTGATTTACCTTTCATTTTCTACTTATTTGGCTGGAATGAATAGAGGAAACCAAACTTCTTAGTTTCTCCAGTCCCAGAACTAGTCCCATTATCCAAATATATTTTCATATTCATGAACGCCGAGTTCATTCCTCTGAATTTTTCTCTCCGGGGCTAATGTTTTAGAAGTTAAGTTGATCTTTTATGAAATTAAATCAATCGGATTTATTTGTACTCGTTTGGATCCATTGCGATAAATAAATGTATTTCTCATGTGAACAATTTAAACGCAAAACAAAATCGAAGTTACAAATGCTCTGGTTCTCATCTATAGTTATGTAATTTGTCAAATTTATTGGATCGAATAGTTTACAAAATAGAAAATACATAACTCTTTGTCGTTATTGTTCGGCGGTTATTTTTCGATCGCTTAGAAACATAGCCACTCTGTTGTTTCATTCAGAGTTGTACGGGATCGAAGCTAGGCGTACCACAAATTTATCGCGCTCAGTCAGCCTGTATATTCGAAACTCGCTACTCCTACTACAAATGTTGATTGAGCGCAGCAACTAAACTACTCGATGCTTGGCTATAACGGAGGAACAAATTTAACCTTGGTGTGTCTGTGGAGTTGACATGTTAATAGTCATTTAGCTAATCAATGAATAATTACTTAACCATACACTTTTCTGTCGGTACAGTGACGGCACCACAGTATTTTGCAATGTCAATGCTTTACTTCACCATTTTTGATGTGTTCGTCATTGCGACTCGGGGACTGACCGAGTTGGATAGTTTTGTGTTCATTCAACATTATCGACAGTTAGCAATATGCTGATTCGCTTTTTATCTCGGGGTCCCCAAACTGTATATCAGGTTCTTTGTTGGCCTCATCTGGTGACGATGGTTGCGTGCGTTTATGGCAGGCAAACTACTTGGGCGTTTGGCTTCCTATATCCGTGATCGCACCGGACGGTAGTCATAGTAGTGCCGTGCCACCACCCGGTTCTGGCGAGCTTAGCAACAAAGCAGCCTTGAGCTCAATGATGCCTAGTTTAATGCGGACCACCAGTAATGGATTACAAATGAAGATGACCTCACATGGCGATTCGGAACATGGTAAGCAGCTCCGGTTCACACGTTTGACCTTTCGAAACATTCGTTGCATCCAGTAGTTGACTTATTCTGATGCTACACCTCAGCTTACTTTTTTTGTATTTTTACAAGTGCAGAACCCTGGTCCACTGTTCTCCAACTACACTTACCTGCGTATACTTTGGCCCGTTTCAAGTCCCGTTGTCTATGTTTCCGTGGTTTAGGCGCACAACTCTGTTTATTCATATTAATGTGCATTGTACCACGGAATATAAAATTGATAATAGAATATATATAATACACAACAAGTCGACAGTTAATATTCAGCAGAAGGCTCCCAAACGGTAGATGCTAAAGTCGAGTGACGTTGACGGGGTTCAAAATCACATATACGGGAGCTGGAAAATAGAAGACCCATACCACTTTCTCATCGCCGTCCGTCAAAACACTTGTTGTTCCTGTTCAAGCTTCTTTGTTCCAAAGCTGGCTAGACATTTTGAAAATGACTGTGTCCATCTCAACCGATAGATCATACTCTTCGCGCACCTCTACACAACTCCCCGAAAAGGTTTTTAACTGACGTGGATGTTTAGATATTGTGTTATTTAAACGCTTCTGTCGCTACTCGGGAAATGCAATCGATTATTTTGTGGACAATTTATGTAAATAATATGTGTTGAATTTGCCTCGTGGTTTATTTTTGGTTTACCTCCTTTCTTCGCAAATAATGTGTCCATCCTTATCCGACTGGCGATCATCAGCTCGCCATTACTTTCGTCTTCAGTTAACCAAGTGCACTGGTGACAAATCAACGAGCTGTTTCATTCTGTTGTTCGTTTACCACATAGATCGATCACTGTTCCAGTGTGCGTAATCACCGTATTCAGTGGCTTGGTAAACTTTAGCCAACTTAGAAATGAATTAGTTCCGGGATTCGATGCACTGCTCGATCGATTTCTTATTCAGTCGGACATCCTCCCTCCTATTTCAGGCAAGGTGTTTATGGATCGACAAGGTTCGGGGCCGGTTATGCCAACAACGGCATCTTTTCAAAAGTTGGGAACATTTGCCAGTGGGAACTATCCGGTCGCATGGCACTAACGGAATGCAAACATGATTGTCCATCGCCCGCCTGTCCGTCCCCTCAATTTGCATCCTTTTGTACATGATCCATTTTGTCTGATTTGCTACAACCCCCGCTCCGCCCCGCCCTCGTCATCCCATTTTTAACTGGTGCACACACATACACCCTGTTGTATCCGACCCCTAGTTCCCTCTCCTCACACGCACTCACCATCATCATCGAGAATTTCTGTTTCAAAGTTTCTCTCACTTTCGTGTCCCCGAAAATTCCGATCGCAACAGACCACAATGAACGAGGTTTACGTGGAATCTAAGATTACTGTTCGTGTTTTCACTATGCACGTTGTCGTTTTTTTTCAATAATCCCAATACTGATTATTCATTATCTGTAAAGACTAAACACAGGGTCATTGGTCGCAGTGATTCGCATGCAGATTGTTGGTCCTTTTTATCCCAAAATTCTCGCATATCACGGATGTGAGAGTTGACATTGGGCATGCGTACGACGGAATGCAGCGCAACAGTTGTTGTTGTTTTATTTTCTTCAGGAAAACTTAATTATGTCTTGGGTTCGAACCGAACACACAAGATATCCATTAGCAGTTTGTTTTCATTCGTACAGCACGGTTGCATCAGCGTTGGTTGTGGTCGTCTAGTTTAACGGCACATGTGTGTTCCGGTAGAGTTGGACCAAGGAAACGATACACACCTCAACAGTCAACACAAACCCTCGCCCCATCCCGAATTGCACTTTAGCACGTCAACAATCTTCACTCCGTTCACATCAATCCGGTTCAAAATATCCAGTTGGTGTGAAAATAAGAGGTAAAACTTCAAGTAACTGTATATTCGTGATGATAAGAACACGTGGTCAATTTATCATTGACACCTGTTGGCATTTTGATCTTATGGTACAACAGAATCACTGATTCTTCGTGTCATAGTTTCAAACACAAGATTTAATAATGTAAAGGATATCGCAATGCAATTCACAATCTGTTCAGGCTAGCTAATGCATATTCAAGGCGCACGAAATCTGATACAGGTTGAATGAGGTTTAAGACCTGTGAAATGCTGTCCGCATTAGTGTGTTTTTGCCCTATTGTGATGGAAGGCAGTACAAAGAGAGTCCTGGTTAGCGACCGAAGCAAGAATGGAGCACATCCGACCAGACGCGCAGACGCAGCGGCGGGAAGTGCCTCGCGAGACAATGTTGACTGCCACCCGAAACGAGCGAATCGACAATTACAGCCCGACAGACAATCCGCAGCTAACGGGAAAGATACCCACCGAATGCCACAACGTCGGAACTGTCGATCAACGTATCTTGCGCCGCGATCGGGTCAAACCAGTCGAAATGGCACGCGGAAGAAGAGGCAACGTACGTGCCAAGTGCGGACCAAGACCAACAAGGAAGGACCCACAGAAGGAGGCATGAATCATCCCCCCGCGCGGTTGAGAATTGACTGTATACAACGCATACTCTGTTTGATTTTGAATTGGATCAATAGACGTTTTTCCCAGCTAGCTCACCTTCTCGCTACACTATCACGGGAGTGTCCGTTCTTATGAGGTGCGTCAGAACATGGCATATACATGAATAAAAGGTAAAGACACGTTATCACCATCCATGTGATCACTCACTGATTCTTTGGAGAGTATCGTTTGTAATACGTCAGGAACAAACATTTGTCTGATGTTTATTATCTTAATCACTGAACCATGTTGTTATCTCTGCCCGACACCTACCTTCTTTTTTTCTATATTTCAAACATCAATTCTACGCACGATTCGAGTGCAAATCCTCTCATTAGTTGTGTGGTTTGAATGGCACTCCTCGCTGAACCCTCACTTCATTTACCTATCTCTTTGTTGTTGTTATCGTTGTCAGTTGCTGTAACGTACATCTCTTCATCTGTCATGCAGGTGATATTTTATCTGAGGAAGGAACCATCAATAACAGGCAGAATAACACCTCCGGACTGCGTAAGATTCTAATATCAATTTATCTCGTAATCAACATCATCGATAAACAGATAGACTAGATATACGCCCGTCTGACGTGCAATTTGTTTCTCCGATATACCGCATACCAGGTTGTCCAAAACAAAGCAGATGACTTCTGTTGTATTAAGTGGGAACTCATAACCGAAGCTTTCGGCGCACTAAAGACTGATCTGCAAGGCAGTGGAGCGGTATGTGAAAACCGCAGTCTGTTCGGGCTGGTGCCCAGTCAGTTGGATTATACGGCCTTCGGGTCTAGCTACCGTGATCAGAATGACCAATGCAACTAATGAGCCACCAGGATGTCCTGGAGTCTCTTCGTACACCTATTCTTGTAGGGGGTTGCAATCAGTTTTCCATCTCCCTTGGCTGTCCTTGGTTAATCGGTCCGGACATTGGCTTTCTTCCCTCTCCACTGATTGGGACTTCCACAGAAGGCTGTTTAAAAGACGCGCTCCATGAGAGCATTGGGGTGGATGAGGCCCATCGTCGAAGGGATAGGATTTTTGGGGATCATATCATACTCGTGTTTTTGTCTATCTTTTTGAATTCATGAATAGGTTCTGCTTAATGAGGATCTCCCTTGTCATCTTCCCATATCGCATTAGTGTTCTGTTCATCGCTTTTCAAACCTTCGGTCCTGAAAAGGGAGAAAACAAAAACAGTCAACTTTGAGGATAAAAGCTTTTGTGGCTTGTTTACTGCACGCCATTTTAACTTGTTTTTTTTTCTTTGTTTTACTTTTGGAATCCCACACGGGAAAGGGTTCATTCACGCCACTGACTTCACTTCGATGCCATATCCCGCAGTGTCTCCAGCCAATGGAAATCTGAAACTTTGGGGCCCCGACGGAAGCCAAACCTGAGCACAATCTCTTCAACCCTCCACGCCACTCATAACCTGTCCACTTCGCTGTTTCTTCCAGCTCGGACTAATGTCTGCAAATGGTANTGGTACACGGTATAACAGACTTTCAAGCATTCGTAGGGCGTGCCCCAGCCACATAAGACGGTGCAGTGAAATTATTTTGCCCAATGGAAGACTATCTGATCCTAACACACGTCGCCTGACATCATCGTTATTCGCGTGGTGCTCTCACCATACGTGGGCGATTTTGCGCAGAAAAGGGTTGTAAAAGACGGATAGTCATTGAACATGATCTGTTCGGAGAGGCCGGGTTTCGCAGCCATGGAGCAACACGGTGCGTACCGTTGAGCAATATACGTCCTTTCAGTGAGAGAGG